CGTATACATGATGTTTACCTGGAAATTCTCCAGCACAGCAAGCTGATCTTGCTTACTGTACAACTCAAAGGCTACTCGAAAAAGTCCCTGAATGCTGTAGAACCACAGGCTGTTATTTGCAGAGGGTACCTTCAAGCCGTGAAACCTGAAAGCTTGAACACAATCAGGGGGATCAGTGTGATAATGTGTCTGTCCTGGTGGGTGACTTTTACCTAAAAATAAGGTGCATATCAATGCGATAGCATGAGCTTGTCTATGTTTATTTCCCCCTAGTCATATTTATTTCATTTGATTGTCTACACCCACCCCGTGGTTTTAGAGGCACAGGTGTAGTTAATGTTTAACTTCCACTGGTATGTCTGTATTTTACCTGAGGAAAAAGTTATTTTTGTTGCAAGGCCTTTCTTGGCAAACTTGGCATGGTGTCTTGGATGGTTTTCTGTACGCACATCGGTCTTTGAGAGGAGATCGGCTCCCAAATAGAGCGGAATCGTTGAACCCTGAAACAGAGAGGATGAATATAAGCCACCGCCGTATAAAGCCTGACAATAACGTACACTGCCTGACCATGTTAATGGTATACATGCTCAACTGCTCATTAATGCGAGTCTATAATAAGCCAATGACATGCCAGCACCCCAGTGCATTTGTGCATGTAGACATGACCAAGACAACCCGCTGAAGTTCAACGCGAGCATCAGAATGGAGAAAAAACATGATTTGAGTGACTTTGAATGTGACATGGTTGTTGGGATTTTAGCCACACAAACATGTTTTTACAGAGAATTTCTCTGGGTGAAAATGTCTTGATGCCAGAGGTCAAAGTAGTCTGGCCAGACTTTTGATTTTTCAGCTGACAGGAAGGCAAGAACCACTCAAACAACCACTCATCCCACCTAAATTATGCAGAAGAGCATCTCCGAATGGACAACATGTTGAGGCTTTTAGCAGATGGACTACAGCAGAAGAAATCCACACTGGGTGTCACTCCTGTCAGCTAAGAAAAGGAAACTGACGCTACATTTTGCGGGTTTGGGTGGAGCAAAGTTTAATTTGGGACTCTTCGTGCCAACTGAACAGAATTTCAACAGGCTACTTGAGTATTGTTGCTCACCATGTCCAGCTTTTATGACCACAGTGTACCCATTTTCTGCTTCCAGGAGGATAACATAGCATGTCACAAAGCTCAAATAATCTCAAACTGGCAGCGAAAATGAGTTCACTGTACACACATGGCCGCCACAGCCACCAGGTCCAAGTCCAGGAGGATGTCCTGGAACAGGAGATTCACATCATGGATGTTCAGCCGACAAATCTGCAGGAGCTTTGTGTGATCAAAATCTCAGAGGAAGGTACCCAGCTCCTTGTTGAATCTGTGCCACAAAGATTTAAGCTGGCTCTGGAGGCAACAGTAGGCCCAACCCAGTACTAGTAAGGTGTACTTAATAAAATGCCCGGTGAGTGTAAAACTGCAGTATAGTATTAGTCAAGCTTTATTTATTTATTTATTTTACTAAGCTGTTTTTTGGTTTTAGTTAGCTACAGTACTTATTTGTTAAACATTACTTATCACTATCCAATTAGAAAGTCTGTGACCGTCCTGCAAGTAAGGAGATGTGTTTATTATGCTGGTGGTAATACATCACCCTCTTGGACTACCTGTGAACCATTAACTCACCTGTTTGGTGCTCTCTGTCAGTCTGAACGATGTCAGACCCACCAGGTGAATGAAACGAATCCTCCTCGCGCCCCCGTCCCGCTGCGGTAACGTCAGAGGGATAACCGAGCAACCTGACATTACTGGAAGTCTCAATTAAGTGCTGTCCCATAGAAATGTTCCTGCGGGAAGAGTCACTGCAAATCAAAGTAATAAAAAGATCAACACAAATGACTGCACACGAAACAGAAACAAAAACATATGCTTTAAACCCTCAGCGATGACTCGCAGGGTAAGGTTTGCTTTACACATGCGCGAACTTTTACGTACTTCCTGTCATCGCTACAGATTAGAAAGAGCCGTTTCCTGGCTGGTGTCGCTTTTAACTTTATCTAATTCCTCTTTAAAATACTTTCCTGCAAAACAAATTGGAAAAATACACAGTACAACTGCATTAATGAGAAAAAATATATAAAAGAAAATGAATATGAATTCCACAAGAAGTCTTTGTTTTTCTTTTGGCGACAGTGTTTTAAAATATAAACCACTATCTTTTTTCTTCTTTTCTTTTTTTAAAAGCAGAATAAAAGGGTGAGAATTTTATGTTTGATAAATAATCAACAAATGAATGCTGTACATTACTGGAGAAACTGGGACAGGTAAAAAAAAATCAATAACTCATGGTCTTTAGTTTTTATTTTTTTTATGTTGTTTGGTCTAACTTTAAATTATTATAAGACAAATCCTTACATGGTTCTGTTCCAACCATATAAGGATTTGTCTTTGATGTTTGTGGCATAATTACTAATAACAGAGTTGGTAATATGTATTCATTGTTTAATAGCTAATAATCAAATGCAGAGAGATGTATAAACACATAGTGAGTGAGAAAGGTGACTGAAGAGGAAACACTCAATGCATCCCCTAGAAGCCAACACCTATTGCAGTGTAACTAAGGGAGGATTCAGGGTCACCGGATCCAGTCCTAAGTATACACTTTATTAAAGTTTTAAATCTAATCTTAACAGCAGAGACGGCGTCTGTGTCCTGAATCCAAACTGAGAGCTGGTTCTACAGAAGAGGGGTCTGAAAGCTGAAGAAGGCTGTGCCTCCCATTCTACTTTTAAATGCTCTATGAACCACAAGTAAAACAGCAGTCTGAGAATGAAGAGCTTGTCAGCGGTGATACAGTACAATAGGGTCATTAAGATGGGGAATGATTATTCAACACCTTGTATGTGAGGAACAGGATTATAAATTTGATTACAGATTAAACAGAGAAAGGAGAGTGCAATATAGAAATATGCTCTCTCTTTCTAGTTCCTGTCAGTACTCTTGCTGCAGCATTTTGGATCAACTGAAGGCTCTTCAGAGAGTTTAGTCATCCAGGTCTTTATGTCTTTAAGACATTCCTGCAGTTTTAACTAGTTGGTGTGTTGAATGAAAAGATTGCATAAAAATGTGAAGAGCTAAAGCGTTTTTAACACAATCCCTTAATTTCAGGGGATTCAAAGTAATTGACAAATTAAATAACAGAAAAATAAATGTCCATTTCTAATACTTGGTTAAAAAAAAAACCCTTTACTTACAATGACAGCCTAGTTCTTGAACTCATGGACATCACCAGATGCTGGGGTTCCTCCTTTTTAATGCCCTGTCAGGCCTTTACTGCAGCGGCTTTCAGTTGCTGTTTGTTTGTGGGCCTTTCTGTTCAAAGTTTGTCTTCAACAAGTGAAATGTATGCTCAACTGGGATAAGATCAGGTGGCTGACTTAGGCATTTAAGAATATTCCAATTCTGACAAATTGCAAACTCCCCTAACAGAGGCAAAGTAAAGGAAGGATCTGTGCAATGAAAGCTGGAAAGTCACCAGGAATAGATGACCTCCCAGCAGAGTTTTATCACAAAACTCTGCTGGGTTTAGAGATTTGCTAAACCCAGAGATTTAGAGATTTGCTACGTCCATTTTTAATTAAGTATTACATGAAGCCTTTGAATATGGACGGCTCCCTGCAAGTTTTAATCTGGCCATAATATCACTAATTCCAAAGGCGACAAAGATTTAACGGATCCAGGCAATTACAGACTAATAAATTTAATCAATGTGGATTACAAAATTCTATCCAAAGTATTAACAATGAGGCTGGAGGTTGTACTACCACAAATTATTCATAAAGATCAAGTAGGGTTTATCAAGAATAGACACAAATCCTGTAATGGCTCCATATTTAAATGCACAGAAGGACTTGATACGGTGGAGTGGAGATATCTGTTTAGGACCCTGGAAAAATTTGAATTAGGCGACAACTTTTGCAGATGGATTAGAACCATATATTTGAGGCCAGAAGCAGCTGTATTTACGAATGGGGTACTCTCTCCTTTTTTGAGTATTTCTAGATCAACACGTCAAGGATGTAATTTAGGTCCACTTCTATTTACCATCTTTTCAGAGCCATTAGCTATTCAAATGAGAGAAAATGCAGAGATTAAAGGTGTATTTGGGGGAGGTAGAGAACACAAATTGTTCCTGTACACAGATGATGTTCTGGTATTAAGCCAAGACCCTGCTAATTATATCACAACACTATTAGAGGTGACTGATAATTATTCACTGTTTTTGGAGTACAAAGTTAATTGGCATAAATCAGAGGCGATGCCAGTTTCCCAAACTTGTAGCCATAACCTAATATTGGGCTTTAACTTTAAGTGGGTGGACAAAGGAATGAAGTGTGTTGTAATTGAATTGAACCCAAATATTGAGGATATTATGGCTAACAGTGTGGGAAAATTAATAAGCAAAATCAATAAAAATTTGGATAAATTGAGTAAACTAGTTTGACATTGTGGGGAAAAGTAAACAGTAAACATGGTTATATCAACAGTCATCAGCTATTATACAGGAATGTTGCCCATGTGTATCCCGCGACAGATGTTCCAAAGCTATAATAATATGATAAAAGATTTTCTTTGGAAGGGTTCGAAACCCTTATTAACATTAATCGACTTTCCCAACCAAAAAAAAGAAGAGGGAATAGACCTAGGCAATATAGAGTATTATAGCATCTCTTTTAAAAATGGCTAGATTAGGCAAACATTGCGCAATGAAAACCGATATAGATTGGATTTTAATAAAACAAGAGCTTGCATCTCCATCCACACCAATTTATATTTTATCACAAAAAGTAAATAAAGAGGGTAAGATGCAAAATCCTATTTTGAAATTTCAAAAATGGTGTGGTTGGACGTGCATAAAAATATAAACTTGTTCCTTAGTACAAAAGTATGCCACCTTGTGGGATAATCTTAAAATAAAAATTGGTAAGGAGACTGTTTACTGGGCACAATGGCTAAGAAGAGGTATCAGAACTGTTGTGACTTATTTGAGTCATATGAGAATATTACAAATAAGTTTCGTTTGGAGCGCTATTGCCATTTTTGGAAGTATTTGGAAGTATTTACAAATAAGAAACTGTTTAAAAGGAAGAGTTACAATAACACACGAAAGTAACCCGATAGATAAGGAGGGATTTATGCAGCACAAAATTCTTAATATATATTATTATACTCCTTCAGCGCTGTGTAGAATGGGTGTTGGTAGAGAAGACTTGTGTTGGAAATGTCGACAAGTAAAGGTACTGATACACGCCCTCTGGGAATGCCGGCCGTTTTTTCCAGTTTGGAACAGTGTATTGAATTATATGCAAGGATGGATACCTTGTAATTTGCCCAGATCACCTAAATCATGTCTACTGGGAGACAAAGGAGAGATGCCACAGTTAAATCAACACCAGTTTAGAGTGTTAAGCACTGCATTGGTAACGTGCATTTTTTTAAGAGGGAAAAAGTTGCGGGTGACAGGTGACGTGAAAAAATGACGCATTATAGCAACTCTGCTGACAGTGTTTACACGTGCTTCCATGGCAACTGCGTCAGACAGAATGTTATTGGATTTGAAAAAAAATAAATTTATTAGTAAACCTTCGTGTTTGCAGCATTCAGCATACTCAGCATACTCAGATACCTGTGATTGCAGCGAGAGAGAGAAAAAACGACAAGCATACACTGATCCACTAAAGATCAACCAGAGACAGGTGAACACCTGATCCCTAAAGGTATGAGCTTGGTGCACATTGCTTTAAAGACTTATTGCAGCAGAGATGCAAAGCTTTGTTTTACCTCCTAAGACCTGAACTCTTTCATGGCATGCCTTTTTAATTTCTCTTTGTTATTTGGGCTGTCAAAACAAAGAATTGCTTTTTTTTTGTTTGTTTCGACCTGAATTTTGTTTCTGAGAAAAATGAGATCCACATATGAGGACATTCACTTTAAATCTCAATGGCAGTATAATGTCCTCATAAGTGGATATCAGCCCCTTGTAGAGCAAAATTTTGCATTTTGGTCTAGACAACCCAAAATGTGTTGTGTGCACATATGTGGAGGCCAGGTCTTAGGATGTTAAATATATTGAATGATTCTAAGTAGAGAAAGTAAACAGCTTTTAATAATAATTTTTGATTTTACATAGTGATGAATGCATCTTGTGTTTAAAGAGTGAATCACTGATCATTTTCTGTCTTTCTGCCATTTTACAGTGATGGCACGAAGAAGCCTCCGCCTGCAGGAGTCAGGCTATTATAGGGAAGACGGAGCTCCAAATATTTCATATAAAGAGACCTCATACAAGTATGTGTGTGGATGCTTTTGGGACTGCACGCTACATTCTGGATAAAACATCCTCAGGCGTACCGACGGTGTAAATCTTCACCTGTAGAATAAGTCTTTAAACTTGTGTGTCATCTTTTAGGGTCTTCCGTCGGAGAAAACATAGGAGACGAGGTCCCTTTATGAACCCTCGCATACAGCAAAGTAAGGACCACTACTCAATTTTAACATCATTTAGAATGAGAGAAGAAGATTCTGTTATCAGACTGTAAACTCCCCTGTGGTTCTCTCTTTGCAGACAAAACAAGACTTTTAAAGACCATCACCGCTTTCTTACTGCTGCCCCTTCTGACTTTTGGTGAGTGAGTCAGAACTTTCTGTCAGACAATCCTTCCTAACACACAAGTAAAACCTGGCCCATTTGTCCTCACATCCACCCCTAGCCTCTCTACTTTGTGTCTCTTAGGAATTGTGAGCTGCACAATTTCCATAAACAGCAAAAAAGAAGCAGAAACAGCAGACACTCAGCCAATTTTTGAATCTCAAGGTAAAGATCGCCATCTTCATCTGTCTCATCATCATTTATACATGAATGTACACAAAGAAAACAAATAATTTGTCTGTGATTTGTGTGAATTCAGGAGCCATGATCCAAAGCGGGGTTTCCTCATGGACAGAGAACTCTGTGCGCAAATGTATGCAGTGGGTGGACCCCTCCAGGGCCAGTAGGAGAGTAATCCAAGTAAGAATGACATAGTTTGCACAGCAGGATTCAGAGTGATATAACATGGAGAAAAAGTTTACATTTATGAACTCTGGGCAGCGTAATAATTAATTTTCTTTCCTCAGGAATATTTGCCTGTGCCTGCAGGGAACTGCTGGCCCCTGGCAGGTCAGAGTGTAATCATCTCACTGTTCCACCCAGTCTCCATCACTGCCCTGACACTGGGACATCTCCGAAAACACCAGTCGCCCGATGGAACCAAAAAAAGCGCCCCAAGAGTGTTTTCTGCCTATGTGAGTGACATGATTTTGTTGATAGTCTAAAGATTTCACGTTTTTTTGTATTATAATTCTCACCAAAACCTCTCTTCTTCTTCAAGGGAATGTTGACCATAGGGGCAGAAGGGACCTTTTTGGGAACTTTCCTATATGACAGCCAAGGAAGAGAATTTCAGACCTTCAACCTACCAGTGAGTACAACACAAAAACATATTAGAGCTCTTTCAGTCATGCTGTTTTTGATGGGCTCAATTTGTAACCAAATAAGAAAAAACTGATGACAAAATTTACTGGGATGCACTGACAGCTGGTCTGGGAGGGGCTACTACGGCACAATGTTATATAGCATTTACTTTTCAACCTGGTTGGTTCTTTTCATTACCACCTCTCTCTCATTTGTCAACAGTATACAAACAACAGCATCTTCAGATATGTGAAGCTTAGGATTGAGTGGAACTCTGGAGATCAAGACTTCCCCTGCCTGTATAATTTTAGGGTCCATGGCAAACTCTTTACCTAATAAATGATTTGAATGACTGTGTTAGCTGGGTAGTAAGTGAGTGACCAATTCTTGGGCTCTGGGGGCTCACAGCTGCCCAGGTACAGGCAGGGGTCTGAGGAGACCTGCAGGAGGAGTGGGGACCATCTTATTTTGAGTGATGGTGCAACATATTTTTTCAGATTAGATCACCGAAATTTCCTTTGCTATGAACTTATAAGCAGTTAATTTAACTACTGAGTTAAATTTTGCTGTGTGTTCTCAATGCAATACCTTAGACTGAGCTGAAGTAGGAACATACAGATAGTTGGGCAGACCTCCAGGATCAGATCCATTCAGTAGACTGACTTTAACACAATGAGCCTATAATCCAGGTGTCTGTGGAGAATTTGCCAGACATGGCTCTGTTGCTCATTGAGGGTTCTAGAAAAAAATCAAGATGTCGTCAAGGCAGACAATAACAAGAAAAATAAAATAAAATTCCTGAGGACATCATTAACAAGAGCTAGGAAAAAGGCTGGGACATTTGTGAGGACGAACAGCATCGCCAGGCACCTTAAATACCCAAGGTGGGTGTTGAAGGCTGTTTTCCATTTGTTGCCCTCACGAATCCTAACCAGATGGTAAGCATTTCCAGTTTGGAAAAGATGGACGTACCCTGCAGGAGTTCAAAGGTGGAAAAAGGAAGAGGTAGTGGAACTTGTTTTTAACTGTAATCTGGTTAAGGGTGCAGTAGTCAATACGGGGATGGAGTGTTTTGTCTCTTTTCTCAATAAAGAAAAAAAACAGCAGCTAAGAGTGAAAACGATGGGCAAATGATACCTGCTCCTGTGTTAATCTCCCAAACATGAACAGAACAGTCTAAACAGATTTAATTCTCAGTAATTCGTACAGTTCCTTTAATGTGTGAGACATGAATAATGTGCCCTGGTTAGTCATTGTCTCTTTCGGGATGCTGACTCATGAGATGATCTGAAACTGGGCCTGCACTACACTCTTTGCCAAAATGGTGCACAGCGGCAGTGCTTCGGGATATCATGTTGCATAATCCACCAGATTACACATCCGCCACTAATACAAAGCGTTGAAATGGCTCGATGAGATCCATGCCAATCCACTCAAACAAGACCTGCAGTGGCACTATGGGATGTCGCCATTCACAAACCTAACCTCCACCCTCTCTGCCTCCAGAAAAGCCACAGGTCAAACCAGGGTTTGGTTGGACCAGGGTCTGCCGTGCTGCCAAGTGATCCTCAGCAAGCGTCACAGCCAGCTCGAGGTTCACTGGCCGATAACAGCAGACCCTCTCTGCTTTTCCTGTTGGGAGCCCCTCCATGAACTGCTGCAGTGTCAGCATGTTCAGCAGCTTAACTTCCCCCTCCATTGGGCTGGGTTGCAGCCACTTGGCTGCAGCATTGTGGAGCCTCCTGATGTAGGCTAATGGACGATCCCTCAGATGAGAAGGATACAAGACACTACATCCTTCAACCAAAGACACCCAGTGAGAGCTTTGAGCCCAGTCACACCATGACAGCAAGTGTGCGTCAAGACACAAAGACTTCAGGCAAGGTGATGTTCCCTCATTTCATCCCACATTCATATTTCCTATAGTTCTTCAGGCACCACCAGGAGGGACAGAGAACATCTCCTTCTACTATCTGATCCCACACAGAGACAGTCAGCTCAGTCACTCAACTCACTTATTCACAGATGTATTACTCATTCACAGATTAAGCAGGAACTCCTTGGCTGGACCTGTAAAAGAGTAATATATTTAATAGATAAACTGAGAAAAGATGCAAATGTTATTTTGTTTTGTTTTTCATCTTGATCACAGTGTTGTTGTCTAGGCAAAAAACAAAAAAATTGCAGTGAGTTTGCTCAGTCAAACTAGGTCTGCTACTCAGCATCTGCTTCAGTGCTGAATCCATAGCACACAATACAACAACATAAGAACTGCTCTAAAATCAGTGCCAACATGTCCAACCAGGAAAGAGGTACATATGTGCCTACCTCTCTAAAACACAAACATCCGTAAAACACGTGTAAATTCTGAGACACTGTCATGGCTTGGAGCTCTAGGTGATTTATAAATAAAAATACTGACATACATACTGACAAATACTGACATCTCAGCCAGTTCTATTGGGAGTCTTGTCAAAACTGACATCAGAAAGGTTTATATATAACAATGGGATAATCCTTTCCCAAAGGTCGAGCAACTGGTCTCCTCAGTTCAAAAAAATGACTTGTCCATTTAAATCATAGGTGCCAAACTCTGGCCCGTGGGCCAAATTTGAAGCCATACCAAATTACTATTAGAGCTGGCCTACTGGTATTATACAGCTAATATATATATATTGTTTAGTATTAAGCTTTGCTTGTTCCATATTCAGTTTTTCAGCAAAACTTATTTGAGTCCATAAGAAAAGAAAAAAAAACTTTTTAATTCAAGTTTATTCCTGGAGTTTTTTTTATTTGTATTTATCTTCAGAGATATGTAGTAATCCAATTTATTTATATTTTTATTTAGGGTTACTTTACGCTGTGAATGCAAGTTAAAAACAAATAAAATTAGTGGTTTTACGTACATCAGTTACGTGACGGTTCAGTAGTTTTATTGTGAAAGTATCAGGAGCGATCACATTTTGCGCATGCGCACGATATGTCGTGTTTCCGCATACGGATCGGGTAGCGCCAGGTATGGCTGAAGTTGATTTTGGGGACAGTGAGCTCTTTCAGCAGCTCGATGAGCCTGCTCCCCCGGTCACGACGCACATTCGGTTCACAGATGATGATGAAGAGCAGGACGAGAGGAGCGAGCTCCGGAGCAGGCTGGAGGAGTGCGACGATTACATCCAGAGACTCACTGAGGAGAATATCCTTGTGGCAGTTTGTTAGCACTAGCTTAAATTTGCTAGCATAGGATGCAACCAAAACACAACCAAGAAATGACTTCTAACAGTCCTTTTTCTGCAGAACTTGTCATTTTTCTTTAATTCCCAGACCACATAAAATATTACGAAGGAAAATGAGCCTCCTGACGCGACCAAGGTAACTAGTAGACACCCAATAATGATCATTTCAAATGAAACGAAACTGTTCGCCAACCGTGATCCTGCGATGTTTTCCCTCCTCCAACACTACAGCGGCGTCACTGTTGAAGATGTTAACACCGACGGGCCTCTTCTTCAGGTCCTTTATACAAACAACATCATATCAAAGTAAGTCAGAATTCTTTATATTTTAAGTAAGTTTTTATGTATTTGTTGGTGAAATTATTACATCTACGGTAATTTATTAACAACATGTTCAGTTTAGATCCATTCACAACATATGAATGACAATTTTTAATCACCCTGCTAGGACGTGTCGCCAGGAAATTGAAGACTGCATCTGCAGTGTGATTTTGAGGCACCATAAACCAGACGTTGAAAGGAGGTCCTCCTTTAACATCAAACCTCAGGTGTGTACCTAGAATATACAGAGCCGTGAAGAAGTTTTTTTGTGTCTATTTGTTAGAGGTGAAAATCACCAGACTCAACATGATGGAATATTACCACAATACGTCACTCAAAATATGACATTGTTCAGATTTTTTAACATTACAATAGCACATATTGTAATTTATCACTTTTTGACATATAAGCTGTAAAAGGCTGATGGGGTAATATTGTAAAAAAAAAAAAAAAAAACCCCAACAAAATACACTTTTTTTGCTGGTATGCTAACCCTGTCATTACAACCTACCATTAATGTTGCTATAAGACTAAGTTGGTATGCTGTCAGTCTGTCATTAAATGGGGTCAAGCTGGCAATAACATCCAGTCTGTTACTGATAATACGGCAAATACCTGTAATAAATCATTGAAAATTAAATACATGTGTCTGTCTACAAAGACAGAAAGGCACGATTAATTTTACATTTGCAAGGGGTGAGGGCGTTTTAGTTTTCTACACAGGTAAGTTTAGAAATTCTTTTTGACTTCATTATCAGAAACATAACTTTAACAATAGCATTTTGCATTTACTCAGGTTTTCATTGTCTTATAAAGTCGTTCATGATCTGAAACATGTAAATGTGACAGACAAATCTGCAAAAAAAAAAAAAAACAAGTCACGAAGGGAGAAAATTCTTTTTCACAGCACTGTATATTACTATTGTAAATATTTTCAATATCACAATGAAGTTTCTGTTTAAAAATACATATTTCTCCCTCTATAAAGAATTCCGCTTTTGCTTTGGACGAAGATCCACAGATGATGTCTTCCAGTAGTGTGAGAACAACAACAGAAGCCTTTAAAGTGAGCACATGCTGTTATTTCTCATTCAAACACACTGAAAACGAGATGTGTAGGCTCACAAGTAGTAACTTATTGTGTTATGTTTTTGTTTTAGGTTGTTGGGAGTGTCTTATATTTCACTACTTTCAGTGTTGATAAACTTGGACAGCCTCTGGTAAATGAAAACCCCCAGCTGACCGATGGATGGGATGTCCCAACGTATCTTTAACATGAATAAATTAAACATTTATTGCCTATGAAGTGCTGTAGTCAGATTTATTAAGTTTTAAAAATTCACAGCTGTGTAGACAAATGCATTATAGCTTCCTGAATTGCTGCAAAGTTATCAGCAAGTCTTCAACCAAGTCATTGGAACTGATGGCCAGGAAATAGAAATGAAAGACAAAAGGTAAGACTACAAAAATTCCATAGCTTTTCCTGTTTACAACTCTTCTTTGTTTGTGTGCTGGGTGGAATTTATAATGTATAATGATTCTGTCTCTGCTCTGTTCACTGTAGACCCAAGTCTATGTGTTTCAACTGTGGTTCAAGCAGTCACCAGCTGAGAGATTGTCCCAAGGTACCATTAATGATCTGCTAATCCAGGATGAATACAAGGACAGAACATAATTTAATATAAGAATGTATTTTTTCTCTCCTAGCCTAAAGACATGGCTGCAATTAATGAGAGAAGAAAGGAGTTCAATCAGAGCAACAACCAAGCCATGCAGAGTAACCAGAGATACCA